CTTGCTGGGTCTTTGGATGATTGGGGAGGGATAGGGGCGGGGATGGGACTATGGCGGCTGATGGAACCTAGCAAGGTTTGGGGAGGGGCACTTTGTGGGGAGTTTGGGGAGGGCTTGGGGGGGAATGGAACGGGGATGGGGGCAGGGAAGATATAGAATTCCTGAGACAAGCTGTTCCTTCTGGGGAACACCCACGGCTCTGCACCTCATGGAAACAAACACCCATTTTTGAAACCTTTTAATCAAATCTGAAGATGATGTAGAATTTCTTCGTAGTGAATCATTTTAGTTGAGAAGAAGCCATGGTGAGGGGTCGGGGAGGGAGGTTGTGAAGGGTGGGGGAGGGGGAAGGGTTTAAGCCACAGAGCTGTTGTATTTCTGAAAGTGCAATAACTTGGCATTTTGAAGACAGAAGCACGTAGACAAGTTTCCCTTTGGAAGGAAGCTTCCATGGTCAGTGGGAGGCTCCAAGGTGACCCTGCCTCTTTGGACCAACCCACTGGGATGGAGGAGAGCAGAGGGGGAGGGGTCAGGTGGGGGGCAAGGTGGGGAAATGAGGCCCTTCAAGAATGCCAGGTGTGGAAATTCTCAGTTTCTAGCCAGCTACCTCGGTAACTCCAATTCAGGTTTATTTCAGTACGAAAACAGTGCAGACACCCACCACCAACTCTGTCCCTGTGTGGTGACAGGACGAAGGGTGGGGATGTCGGGGAGGGAAGTAGCCACAAGTTCTTGGACTTCTCTGTGCATCTCTCTCTCTCTCTCTCTCTCTCTCTCTCTCTCTCTCTCTCTCTCTTTCTCTCTTTCTCTCTTTCTCTTTCTCTCTCTCTCTCTCTCTTTGTCTCTCCTGCTCAGTACTGTGTCCTAAAACAGAAGCCAGCGACTTACTGTTGAGGGTGGAGGGAGGAGAAAGGGGGCAGAAGAGGGGTTTTTCTTTTTTTTTTCTTTTTTTTTTTTTTTTTTTTTTATTTTTTTTGTTGTTTGGGGTGGGGTGGGTGGGGTTTTGAGTCTACAAGCAGTTACAGGTTTCCCTCACAGTAGGAATATTGTTGGAAACTCTTCTTGCTGAAATCTGGCTGACTTTGCTTTCCAGAGCCTGTCCTGGAGGTGGGACTTTGAGGGTGGGGGGTGGAGGGTCAGAGAGGAGGGAGATCTGGGGCTGCCCAATTCTTCCCTGCTTCTTACCACTCAGGTTGCCTGGAAACCAAATGCGATCAGGTGTGGAAGGTTCTTGTCCCAGGCTGGCTTTCTCTGGGCGCCCAGCAGCTGAACTCCTCTGTTCCAAGGCAGGCGTTCTGCTCTCCAACCCCTGGCATGTTTCCTGAGCTGGAGTAACCAAGTCAGACACTGGTCTAGGGTCTTCCTTGTATGTCTTCCTCCTCTCTTCTCTTTCCCACTGGGAGGTGAGGAGCAGGTCTCCAGATGCTACTCCCCACTCCTCTAAAAGCCCAATGCTTAAGTAGCACTTTCAGATGCCTGTGTTAGGAAGTTTGGGGGGTGGGGAGAAGTGGAGGAAGGGAAGTGATGCATCTAAAATAATTCCAGCCACCTAAAGCCATCCATCTACCTCCCCTTTTCCCTTTTCTCTTACTGGAATCCTCATCAAAATGGATACAATGGGGCTGAGGAGGAGACATATGGGAGACCAAGACTTGAGGGTCCTCGTGAAGGCCTGTCAGGAGACCCAGTGCTACCAGGGCCATCCTCTATCCTGATCTAATCCCATGTGATTGGGGGTGAGGGGAATAGGACTGGATGTGATCCACCCCCAGCCACAGACTGGGTGCTGCCAGTAGGAGGGGCCTTTCCTCCCAATGCTCTGATGACTCACCCCGGAAATACAGATGGGGAGGGTAGAGGGGATATGCTGGTTCCTGTTGGGATTTTACTCACCCACCCCCACCCCAAAGCTGAGCAGAGATCCCCACCCAGCTGCTGAACTGTCACAAAGGGCACACTGGGGACCTTTGGAGTGGCACTGAAATGTCCAGGGTTTCCCCAAGGTGGGAAGGGAGAGCCTTGGACCTGATTTCCACCTATTTTCACGGTTTTCTTCGTTTCCTTTTCCCTCCAGTCCTCCCTGCCTTTTTCCAAACCCAGAATAATTTTCCTTTATATAAACAACTCTCCTAGCAAGGAAGCAATATCATTTCAGGTAACAATGGGAAATGTGGTAGAGCTCCAATTAAGTTTTACTGTATAAAACAGGTTGCTCAGCTTGACTCCTCGGGAGCATGGGCAGCTCATGTCCAATTTTTTCTAATATTTGTATCCTAATTTAATTGTTTTTTAAAAATGAAAATAAAAAAGGTCTAGGCCAAGCCACTTAGAAACATCATGATTCAGTTCCTGGTTTGGGTTGATTTTTTTGGCCAGCTGTTCTGTACATATGTTTTCTTATATCCTCGTTTTGTTTTTGTAAAGAGAAAAAAAAAAAAGGAAAAAAAAACCCCAAAATATTTTTCTTTCCCTTCCGTACACATTCTCCAGAATTCAAAAGTATAGTGTTTTGTTAAATAAAAAGATTTACATTTCGAGGCCTGTGCCCACTGTTTCCGGCTCAGAGGTGTGGGGTGTGTCTCTTCCACAGCAGGGCAGGGAGGGGACTTGTGGACCTTGCCCAGAAAGGGCTGGGCCACTCTGCCGGGAGTCCTGGTCCTGTGGCTGCAATGAACTGGAAGCTGGGAGGTTGGGAGGGTGGTGGAGCAAACCAGGGTTGGGTCTCCAGCACCCACAGTGGTCTCTGCACACAGAGACACGCACACTCACACTTCCACACTCCAGTGGGCCACCTTAGGCATCAAAGACCAGCTTTTGATGCTCCAGGCTTCTGCTGTCTCACCCTTTTTCTCAGGTAGGAGGATAGAGTAGCTCAAAGGTAACCAGCCCAGCCTAAAGCCTCAGGGGGCTTGGCACAGCCTCTCCACCTGTGCTTGGCACAGCTGCTTGGCACCAGGCTTGAGGATCTCTCTACCCTTGGATTCTGGAGGCCTGGGTTCCAGCCCTAACTAGCTATGTGTTCTTGGACAAGTCTAATTTCTGGTTTCTTGGTAGACTTGCTTCCAGGTTGAACTAGATGTACTTTTAGTTCTAATGTTCTAGTTTTAAAGCCCTTTCTATCTCTAATCTTTCGTAGGTCAGCTCTACTGAGCTAGACTAGAGGAAAATGGTACCAGTCTTAGGGGAGATTTGGAAAAACCAGATTGTTCGTAGAGCAGACTGCATTTAGCTCCTTTTGCCCCCAACCTCTTGTCCTTCCCATTTTCTCCTTGATTGAATTCCTGAACTTTGAGCTGATTTAATCATTTTATGTATTAGGCTTAAGGGTCAGAGCCCCAGCCTAAAGCCAGATGAACACTACTTGGCAAAGACAGCTGGTTTGTCAACACAATTAGCAAGCCCTTTAATTGCGTACTCATCACCATGGGTTTGTTTTGTTTTTTTTCTTCCCCAATCCCTGTCTCCACAAGAGCCCTCGCCTTTCTGTGCCCTGGTAGAACTAGCGCTGGGCATCTGTTGTCATCACCATTCAGCCCGTGGACATAGAGCTCAGAGGGGTCAGGAGGCAACTGGGAGTTTGTTTTGTCATTAACAACCTGCGCTGACAAGGGGAAGCTATCACAGACCTATCCTCTCATTTTGGAGACAGAAGGCCCTTCAGTTGGTGTTGGGGCATCTCCAGTCCTCCTCGACAAACCACAGTCTTAAGTAACCTCGTCTCTGTTACCATCCTGGCTTCCCCAGACAAGAAGCTCCAACCCAAAGACCTTTATCAGTGGATCAAGGACAATGACCTTTCCTCAAAAAGCTGGTGAGTTGTGTATGTCGCCAACACCCCAACTCAACTTGGGGAAGAAGACTGCTTTAGAGGAGTGAGGAAAGCATTTCTCCGTTGGGCTTTAATCTAGCACCAAAGCCCATGCACCAGCCAGCAGAGGAGGTAGAACCATAAAGGGCTGCCTGAACATGTCCTGTAACCCACCCCTCCGCCACTATCCTGACTTTGTTCATCTTCAGATGAAAAGAACTCGGGTCCAAAAGCAGCTTGGACTTCTCTCCCTCCAGGTCCAGTGTGGCAGAGTGGAAAAAAAGTCATCAAGTCCTGGGTCTAAGCTCTTTTTTTTTTTTTTTGCAGCAATTGGGATTAAGTGACTTGCCCAGGGTCACACAGCTAGTAAGTGTCAAGTGTTTGGTTTGAGGCCAGATTTGAACTCAGGTCCTCCTGACTTCAGGGCCGGTGCTCTGTCCACTGCGCCACCTAGCTGCCCCAGTCTAACCTCTTAATAATAGTTATGCAACTCCTGACAAGTCACTTCTAATCTCTGGTCCTCAGTTTCCCCATTTGCAAAATGGAGATAGTACTTGTCTCCTGGACACAATGTAAGCTCCTTGAGGGCAGGGACTTTTTTTTTCTTTGTATCTCCAAGTACCTAATGCAGTGCTGGGCACATAGTAAATGCTTAATAAATGCTTGTTGCTTAACTGATTAATGCTTGCACTAGCTCCCTCACAGGATGGTTGTGAGGAAAGTATTTTGTAAATATAAACAGGGCTTCCTTGGCTCTCACTCCCTTCACCACCCTTCACATACCCTGGAAGAAGAGCTGGTCTGAGAGCGTGTGACCCAACACGTCCTGGAAGAAGGGTTTTGTCAAGGCTGGGGAAGCAGCAGTGGAAAGGCCACTTGTGCACCATCCATCCACCCTGCCACCCTGGAGGAGTGAAAAGCTCTTCCCTGGTGGGACCTGGGCGAGGTTCGGGGCTGGGGCTGCCAAAGTAGGTAAAGCTCTTTGCTCACTCTCTGTAATCTCAGTCTCAACCTCAGTTCGGAGAAATGAGGAGATTGGAAAAGATCTGTCTCGAAGGTCCTAAATAATAGGAGTACTAGGTCTAAGAACTTGACTTCTCTTGCTTGCGCCCTTGGTTATATCACTTTTTTGAAGCTTGTTTTCTCCTGTGTCAGCTTTGACAAATAATAATCCTTCGCTGCTCAGTCGTTTTCAGTCTGATTCTTCGCGACCCCATTTCGGGTTTTCTTTGCAAAGATACTGGAGTTTTCCTTCTCCAGCTCATTGTTCAGATGAGGAACTGAGGCAAACAGGGTGAAGTGACTTGCCCAGAGTCACACAGCTAAGAAGTGTCTGAGGCCAGATTTGAACCGACTTCAGACCCGACACTCTATCCGCTTCGTCACCTAGCTGCCCTATAAATGCTACCTTAAAGCATAATGTAAGTGGGTGAAAACTGGGCTGGGCACAGAGACCAATCTCCTCCCTCTGGTTCCTGCAAAGACGATCCCTCAGCCGCTCCAATGCCAGAGAAATTGCTGACATTTCCCTAGCACTTAATGGTTTAAAAAACGCTTTCTTTACAACAACCCGGTGGGGCAGAGAAGCATCTCCATTTTACAGATGAGGCTCAACATTGTAGAGCTTGTCAAAAGGCATGGATAGTAGAGATAGAATCTGAACCCAAGTCTTACGACTTCAAATACAGGGTGTCCAAAAAAGTCTTAGTTCAGTTGTAAGCTATCAGAGCTTAAAACCATGCCAAATACTGCCTGCTTTCCACCACACAAGACCGCTGCTAACAAGTCTGTATCCAGTGGGTTCCGAGTGCCTACTCGGAGGGAGGGGTCCGACAAACCAGAACACCTAGCTCTTGCCCTTGGGTTTATTCATGGCTTAGCTCTACGAGACCCATCAGAAGGAACGTTTCCTGATGCAAATCACAAGGATCCAAAGCATCCAAAACTACTGGAATACCAGAGCTGCTCGATAGCCGTGTGGCCTTGGGTACGTGGCAACATCTGTGGGCTGGTTTCCTCCTCTGTAGATTGGAGGTTGAATTGTACGGCCTTGAAAGTCTTCTGGTTCTAAATCCTGTGAGTTTAGAAGAGCCCCAACACACCCTTTAGTGCATCTCCCTGTAAACCCAGCCACATGCAGTCTTTAGCTAGGCTGCTAGGAGAAGAGATTTTGGGGGCGTTGCTGCAAGCTGTCCTTCAAATGTGGATAAGACTGGGAGGGGGTCCTAGAGATAAGAACTAGCAACAGCAGGTGGAAGCGGCAGAGACACGGGTTTGGTCTTGATGCCTCCTCACTGCGAGTGCTCAAAGAGGCTGAGTCACCGTTTGTCAGCGACGCTCCAGAAGGGGTTCTTGTGCAGACCCAGCTTGGCCTGGATCGCTTGGGGCCCTTTCCAGTGCAGCCTCTGTGACTCTGAAAGAAGGGCTACAATGGGGACCAAAGGATTATGTGCCCTGGGTCACTCTGTAAAAGTGGGAAACAAGGGCTCGTGACCTCTTTCCATTATGCTGGGATCCTCATCTCCTGAATACACTAGCATGTCAATACCCATTTTGAAAATGGTATAAAGTCAGCATCCGAGCTCAGATCCCTGACTCACTATGTCTTCCTCTGTTCCTTCAGGGAGGCCCCGCATTACCATTGCTTCCCCATCTCCTGCCTGGGCGGCTGGGGCCACTGGCCCTTCTAATTCCCCTCTAGGGTTGAAATTAGCTGCATCACCTCGACCCTTTTCTTTCTGACACAACCCTTATCTTCTCTAGCTCAAAGCCCTGCCTCCACCTCTGATTCTGAAGGTGGTCCTGAACGCCTGGAACTCAATGTGATGAGAGATCTGACTTGCCCTTCTTCTATCAATGATGATCTCAGCTTGTCTCCTCTTTTTTTAACGGTGTAGGAGTGGAGACCTGTGTCAGAACTCCCATAATTGAGGCATAGGCTGTCATAAGAGTGTAGACCCCTGCCCTCAGCATGCAGGACATTATTCTTGGGGGAGAAGAGGATTGGTCCAATTAAAAGTACTATGGTTTCATCCACTCCCTATCCATCTGTCTCATCCTTCCCTCCTATCTCGCCTTGGAGAATGACTGACTAGCTGCCCTAGAGGTTTGGGCATAATAGCCTGCCCCCAACACTACCAATCCTTGCAAACAATTATACAGCCTCATTCCTAAGGTGTTCGTGTAGATGGCAGGCTGCCTGGCCTGAAGCCTTGCATTGTTCAAATCAGAAGACTTGGGTGGGATGCATGGCCCTACTGCTTTCTAACTAGGTGACCTGAGGAGTCACTCTTCTTTTCTTCTGGATTCCTCAGTTTCCATATATGTAAAATAGGGCTGAAGTAGATGGTGTACAAAAGTACCTTCAAACTCTAAATCCTGTCAATCTCCAAGGTAGTTTTAGCTAAGGAATGACTGGCAGAGGCCCCAACAGGAGAATTTTGCCTCCTTGCCATGGGTAAGAGATGGCCTCGATGTAGCCAGAAGTCTGGGAATGTTAGGGCTGGAAGGTGGAAGGTGCATTTAGCGCGCGCGCACACACCCCTCCCCCCCACCACACCGCCCTTCACAAAGTACTTGTTGGTCTCACTCCAATTTCCATGTCATGCCCAGCACCAATCCTAGTGGTGACCTTGGCCCTTTCCAAAGAGCACACATTGCAGCCATGCACCAATGAAGTCAGTAGATAGTTGGGAAGGAAGAAGTGAGATGAAGTCCTCTGACTTC